GGTGATGGATGAACAGAGTCCTCCCTGGACGCCGGCCATGGACAGAAGAGAAGGGAAGAAGAAGAAGGAAGGAAGTTGTCTTCTGTGATCTCTGACCTTCCTTTGAGCTTACGTAGATATATGGAATGGAATATCTCTGGCCAATTTTGCTGTCTGTCTAACTCAGCCTCCTACGGGGGGGTCACAGATCTCCCCATAGTGTCTGAGCCGGCAGAGTGAAGGTGTGACCTTGAAGCCTCAGTAGTTAGAAAAACATTCCAGTGTCTTATCAGCCTAGCAGAACACACTGTTGCTAGTTAAAAGAAAGCTTACTGAAGGAAAAAAAAAAAATCAGTAAGAGGAAAATTGGCTTCATCCTGGCTTAAACCAGGACACTGCCTCTGTCTCTGATCTGTGATTAGCATATGCCTCTAATTTATCTGTACTCGCATCTTGCCTGTCTTTCAAAGAACTATTGCTGACAAGCACACAACTTTACAACTGCAAACCTCTTCTGAAGAAAAGGAAGCCTGGATTGAATGCCCAGGAGTAAACACAGAAAGAGGCCTGGTGGAGGGAGGAAAACAATGCTGAGTCTCTGACCCATCAGCTTTTATCACAGTAAAATCCTCATGGTGATTTTAGAACAAAAGCAACAGCCTCGTGAGCTGGCATTGCAAAGTAGGTGGCCAGCTCAGAGCGTGTTTCTTAGAACTTGCTTTTGCTTGAAATAAAATCTTTTGCTGACCTACCGCATCCAGCTTCCTTACCTCTCTTTTTCTGCCCAGCTTTGGCTCTTGATGGAGGAGTCTGAGAGAATTTGACAGAAGTATAAATTATTTCTTCACTTGCTTTGGCTGCAGAAGTTTCTGATCTGCTTCCCTCCATGCCAAAGCACAGAATACGTGTGACAAGATGTTTCAGTCAGGTTGTTGAGTAAAACAGGAAACCTGAGGCAACATTCAGAAGACAAGAAATGTAAAGCTGTAACCTTTATCTCCAGCTACTCAAAATAACCAAATTTAGAACAGAATGGAGAGCAGTGGAAGCACAACAACTTCCATTTCCTAACCTGATGCGGAATTTCTTAAAAACAGCTGTTAGTGGAAGAGGTGATTAATTGCAGTTTATGGGTACCCTAATTGTTGTCAATGCAAGAGGCTGTGAGGTAGCACTACTACCACTGAGGTAGTAATTGTGAGAACGTGTGTTGCTCTGACTAGCTCCCTCTCAGGACAGAAGTAGATGGGTAGCAAGAGCACAAGGTGAAAAAGGGGAATAGTGTAGTACAAGGTGAGAAGTGGAATAAGCAATGGCTACAGAAAACTGGCAGCTAACTGCTGTCTGAAGGGAAGTAGAGGTGGACAGCATAGGTTTGGGAGGGAAGCCTTGTAAGCTTTGGGTGCTTCTACTGGGGTCTCTTTCTACATCCAAGACCCAGTGTGAATGTGCTTGAACCAGAGGCAGGCACTGAGAGCTGGCATCCCTCAAGACCCTCTGAATCAATATTGCAAAAGCAGCAGTACAAGAGACAGATGGACATACTGGAGAAAGTCTAGCAAAAGGTTATGACAGGGACTGGAGTATCTCTCCTGTGAGGAAAGGCTAAGAGACCTGGGATTGTTTAGCCTGCAGGAGAGATGTTTTGGGGAGGATCTTAATTATGTATATAAATACCTGAAGGGAGGGTATAAGTAGACACGGGCTCATTTCAGCAGTGCCCAGTGACAGAACCAGAGGCAGTGGGCACAAACTGAAGCATGCTAAGTTCCCCCTGAACATACAGAAATACTTTTTTACTGTGAGGGTGGCACTGGTTGGCCAGAGAGCTGGGGAGCTGGCTGTAGGTGCTTGAGCAGGGGGTTGGACAAAAGAACTCTGAGAGGTCCCTTCCAACCTCAACCACTCTGTGGCCAACAATAATGGTATCATGGCTTTAACCCAGCAGACACATAAATACTACACAGCCTCTTGCTCATGCTTTGAGTGGATATCAGAAAAGTCTAAAAAGAGCTGCTAAGCCCAGACAGGAAGAATTTACAATAGTCATGATGAAAGCTTAGCTGGGAATGTAAACTGTGTGGCTGGAAAGAAAAAACAAGACTGAGACACTGCTTAAGTGACACAGACCAAAGGTCTCTGGCTACAGCCAAAGGCACTGCAGGCTGCCTGCAGGCCCAGTGTGGTCAAGAAGATGGAGTTATTTGTGAACAAGTGGAGAAGTGAAGGTTGGCAGGGAAGAACAGAGTTCTGTTTTGATGTATTCTACCATTTTCTCTCGAATATCAGCAAGAAGTTGTGTTCTCACTTTGGACAAGGAAATAGTGACTGCACTGTAGAAGGGTACACAGAAAACACACTGTGCTGACACGTCTGTGCTATACTCCCAGTGCCATCAGCAGGACAGGAATCACAGCAGGAGTAAATTCATCAGTTTTCCAAGAGCCAAAAGCACTCCTTCCCAGTTCCTCATCACTGAAGCAGTGTCTGGCAGAGAAGCCTCTCAAACCCCTCTCAAACAAGTGTCTTCTCTAGCATGTTGACAAGTTCAAGAAATCCAGCATCTCTATCTTAATTAAAAGAAGTAAGACTCAGAACTCTGGCAAAGAACATCCATCCATTCTGATACCAGGGCCCTAGAAAGTGGACTATCACACTAGCACAGTGAGAGCATGACTTAAAAGAGAAATGTCCTTTAAGGATGCCAGTCTCAAATGGTTTATAGCTTTATTAATCATAGTCAAGATGCTCAAGTTCACCAACCTTCCCATCCCTGGGAGTGTTCAAGGCCAGGCTGGATGGGGCTCTGAGCAACCTGGTCTTGTGGAAGATGCTGCCCATGCAGGGGGGTTGGATCTAGATGATTTTTAAGGTCCCTTCCAACCCAAACCGTTCTGTATTTCTGTAATTCTATGATCAGCTGGACCTGAAGTTCCTCTGCAGTGGAAAGACTTGCAGGAGCTGGAGCAGACACCTTTATTCCCAAGTCCAACAAAACAAGGTGTCAGGCGTGGATGAAATCAGACGGATGGAGGCCACAAATTACCGTTAAGAAGAGTTGTATCCCTCGCTTGTTTATCAGGAAGTCACTCTGGAGATACATGGAGAGGAAGCAGAGCCTGGTAACAGCGATGGCCTATGGCAGCCTCCCATGAAGGGGCACGGGGAAGGGCAGGCGGCAGCTGCCTGGTGCTGGGAAGCTGGGAAGCCTCTGCTGGCACACGCGCCTGTCTGCAGGTGCGCGGAGCCCGCAGGAGGCCGGGAGCTGGGAGCTGGGCCTGAGGGTGAGCAGGTCCCAGCCCACCCGGACCTGACCCCCCAGCGAGCTCCTGCACCCGCCCCGCCCGGCCCC